TGACTTTTTAATAAATCTACACACCAGTGGTGCAAAGTACATATACAGGTCAAGTTTACCACGTGTGTATAATTTAGTGAACATGAGCTTAACTTGATTAATTCCATTTGATCCTACTTGTAGCTGTAAGAAAATAATGATGTAAAGTAAGTAATGAGCTTATAAATATATTGTTTAATACTCATTGTATGGTTCTCAATCTTTCTCACTTGTGAATGCTTACAAAAAAAAGCACTTTGTTAGGAGGGCTCTTTCCTAATTTCAAATTTCCATTTCTATTTCTAAATAAAAGTTTAGAAATTTAGAAAAAATGTTATTGAAATTATCCAATTATCCAATATTTCTAAAAACAAACACTTCAAACAGAGCTGTGTCGCAGAACTTATTCAATATACTTATTATAGCTTAATATACATCAGACCTGAGCTAACACTCTCAATAATGTAACGTGTTGACTTTATGAATGGATTCGTTATTTCAAATTTTAAGCACTGGAAAAAGTGATATTATAATTGCCTGTTCCACTWTTACATSATAGTMTCATACTTTGGCTGGAATATATATGTTTGATTACATTTTATGTGGTATCAAATGGGTCCTAAAAGTCTGAGATGTTGCTTGGTGAAACTCCTAGGTGGTTTTTACTCAACTGCAGGATCTGACGACAAGAGAAAGTACATGTCAAGACAAGAAAATCCTCAGGAGATTTTCATATTGTGCACAACTGGAAGGCTCGCTGGTTTGTGCTGATGCCAGACAAGCTGTTCTATTATAAATACGAAGGAGGCAGAAGAGACTCGTGTCAGCGAGGGAAGATCCCACTGAAGGACTGTGTGCTGACTTGTCCTTTTCTAGAATGCGAAAATCGTCCCGCGAGTTTTTGTCAGACTCAAGAACAAAACGAGATTAGAAAAAGATTCCAGACAACTTTGTTTTTTCAAGTCTTTTTATTTGAACAATGAAGAAATAAACATAAAAACTGAAATAAGTATAAATCAGTTACAGCACATTCAATATAGAATCTACTCTCATGTCTCATGGGGTGGAGTCAGGATGAGGGGATGGTT